AAGCTTGTAAGGCATATGTGAGACTTCTCATGGTTATTGTGTGGTAAGGTGGTTTGTTTTAATTTCATGTTAGACTTTTGTTTAACAGTTTTTGTTTTTGTTTTTTTCAAGACAGGGTTTCTCTGTAGCTTTGGAGCCTGTCCTGGATCTAGCTCTTGTAGACCAGGCTGGCCTCAAACTCACAGAGATCCGCCTGCCTCTGCCTCTTGAGTCCTGGGATTAAAGGCGTGCACCACCACTGCCCTGCTCATGTTAGACTTTTAAGTTTATTTCATTGGGATGAATTGTGTGTGTGTGTGTGTGTGTGTGTGTGTTTACCCATGCTTGCTGTGTTTTGTGGGTGGATATCAGAGGATAACATGATGAAGTTGGTTCTTTTCCTTTATACAATGTGGCTCCTGGGAAATCATCAGGCATGGTGGCAAGAACCTTAAACCCCTGAGCTCTCTTCTGGGCCTTACTCTTAGAAATAAGTTAGGTGTCACAAAGGAAGAAACCACCTCTCCAGGTAAAGTGTCTCAACAAGGAAACGTCTAGCAGGATGTATATTTAGAAAACAGAAGGAGCAAGCACACTGGGGCAGGGTTCTTATTTAAAGCAGGTGGTAGCCTTCCCCATTGCTAGGTTCTAACCTCACAGTTTTTGTTGATCTCCTAGTTTAAAAGAATCAGAGCAAAGGAAATAAAAGACATCAAACAAAGGGAAGTCACTGAGTTCTGAGGCCACAGCAGAACTTTTAAAGTACAAAAAAATCTTTGCAAAAGAATTTTACAAGGTAGGGAGAGAAAAAGGTTTGCATTCCATGAAGTTAGAAAAATTTTACAGCAGTTGACAGAAATGACTAGTATTTAATGTTTCTTAAATGAGGACTGGATTTTGTTTTGAAATATGGTTCCCCCGTTTTTTTTTTTTGTTTGTTTGTTTGTTTTTTGTTTTGTTTTGGAGACAGGATTTTTCTGGTGTAGACTTTTCTGTCCTGCAACTCACAGAGATCCACCTCCCCAGTGCTAGGATTAAAGGTGTGTGCCATTAATACCAAACTTTTAAACTTTTTTAAAGTGTACCATTTGGCTCATTAGGCCCATTCAGTTTTTGCTGCCTCCTCTTCCTAGTTCTAACCTTTTCATTATCCTGGAAGGAAAGACCGTTCTTAGGAAGTAGTCTCTTTTTTCGACTCTTGCAACCTGTAATTGAGAGACTTTCTCTCTGTTTAGCACATTCTTGATTCTTCTTCTTTTTCCTCCTCTTCCTCATCTCCTCCTTCATCCCCCCCTCCTCCCCTTCGCTTTTATTGAGCTATACAATTTTCCCCGGCTCCCAATTTACTCAGGAGATCTTGTCTTTTTCTCCTTCCTATGTAGATCTGTGCATGTCTCTTTTCGGGTCTTCTTTGTTGTCTGGGTTCTCTGGGATTGTGAACTGTAGGCTGGTTTTTGTTTGCATTATGTCTAAATGTCATTTATGAGTGAGTACATATTATATTTGTCTTTTTGGGTTTGGGTTACCTCAGTGTATTTATTTTTCTAGATCCATCCATTTGCCTGCAAATTTCAAGATGTCATTATTTTTTTGTCGACATTTTGGGTTTTTCATATAAAAAGAGTCATAACTTACAGCTTTTTATCTTTGACTGCTTTCATTTGACACACTTCCAGCATTATACATGTTATAATTAGTACAATTTTTTGTTGAAACTCTCATTTTATTCCATTAAAATTTGAAAATCTATACTTATAAATAGAACTTTCTAAATATGTTCTTTTGGGTTTGGGGAGCTGTACCTTAGTGTTATTACATGTGAGATGCTAGACTCATCCTCAGTAATTAAAATTACTGTATTTGTGAGGTGTGTGTGTGTTTGCGTGTGTGTGTGTGTGTGTGTATACAAGTATACATGCACATGGGTATAGAAATTAGAAGACCTCCAGGAGTTGGTGTTGTAAGGTAGAGGGCCGCTTTTTTGTCTGGCTATCTTACACCTGAAGTAACCACATAGAAATTGTATTAATTAAAGCACTACCTTGGCTGTTAGCTCTAACTTCTTATTGGCTAACTCTTACATATCAGTTTATCCCATCTCCATTAATCAGTGTATTACCATGTGGCAGTGGCTTACGGGAGATTCTAACCAGCTTCCATCGCCGACTGAGGACCCATGGCTTCTCCATGTCTCTGCTTTCTTCCTCCCAGCATTCAGTTGTCTTCTCCGCCTACCTAAGTTCCGCCCTATCAACTAGGCCAAGGCAGTTTCTTTATTCATTAACCAATGAAAGCAACATATAGACAGAAGGACCTCCTACACAAAGTTGGGGGTGGGAGTTTGGTTCTGCCCTCCTACCATGTGAGGTCTGGGAATCAAACTTGTGTTGTCAAGCTTGGCAGCAAGTACCTTTAACTGTTGGGCTATCTTATCAGCTCAAAATATGCCCCCGCCCCCCAAAACAGGGTTTCTCTGTTTTTTTGTTTGTTTGTTTGTTTGTTTTGTTTTTTGAGACAAAGTTTCTCTTTAGCTTTGGAGCCTCTCGTGGAACTTGTTCTGTAGACCAAGCTGGCCTCAAACTCACAGATCTGCCTGCCTCTGCCTCCCAAGTGCTGGCATAAAAGGCTCTGCCGGCCTCAGGCTTTCTCTGTGTAACTCTGGCTATACTGGGAACTTTCTGTAGACCAGGCTGGCCTAGAACTTGGAGGTCCACCTGCCTCTGCCTCCTTAGTGCTGGGATTAAAAGCATGTGCTGCTACCACCACCTGTCTTAAAATATAAGTTTGAAAGGGATTAGGTGCACGACTCAGCATTTGGGAGGTAGCAAGTGGAAGATTCCGAGTTTAGAACTAGACAGGATTACATAATGAGACTATGTCTTAAAACAGATTTACAAAAAAGTTTAGGCCTTTAGAAAAATTGGCCCAGATGTATCTGGATTGAAGTTTTAAGTCTCCTTGCTGAGATGTAGTTGTATTCATGAGGTGTCTGAGTAGGCAGATTCCTCACCACCCTCTAAGTGCTTTTTATACACAGTAATTCATACACAGCTTTAATAGGTGGGATGTTTCTTATCTCATTACAAACTAACATTCTGGAACTGTAGATCAAGAATTGCTTCCTAGTAGTAGAAGTAACACATTAAATATCTATTTTTGTGGCCCTGTTTATTTTCGTTTGTGTCAGAATTTCTTTTTATCTCCACCATTATTTACCACCACTCTTTTGTTCATTGCTGTTACACTTGCAGGGACTAAAGTGATAAAGATGAACGAAGTAGTACTAAGACCATTTCTTTCCTTTTTAAAAATTCTTCTCTCATATATTACATTCCAATTCTACTCTCCATTCCCCTTCCTTTTCTCTTCCCAGTGCCTCTCCCTGACCCCCCTCCCCCTGAACCCCCCTCTTTCTCCCTTCCTTTCAAGAAAAGAGCAGGCCTCCCAGGAATATCAACCAGTCATGGCATATAAAGTTATAATAAATCTAGGCACATTCCCTCTTATTAGGACTGGATGAGTTAACCCAGTAAGCAAAGGGTCCCTAAGCAGGCTAAAGAGTTAGAGACAGCCCCCCACTCCCACTGTTATGAGTCCCACAGGTACAGCAAGTTTACACGACCATAACACACACAGACACACACACACACACACATAAATGTATAAAGAGGACGTAGATTAGACCTATACAGGCTCTGTAATTGTTGGGTCAATCTCTGTGAGCCCCCACGAGCCCTGGCAGTTGACTCTGGCCCATTTTCTTGTGGTTTCTTGACCCCTCTGGCTCCTACAACCCTCACTTACTTTCTGCAGGATTCCTCAAACTCCATCTAAAGTTTGACTGTGGGTCTATGCATCTGTTCCCATCAGTTGCGGAATGAAACCTCTTTGGTGACACCATTTTTACCTGAAGAATATCATAATTTTTTCCAAACCCTTTTATAAAATATTTAGAGAGTAACATAAACCAAATGTCAGAACAGAAAAATAGTGGAAATTACAATCTTTCTTTGAAATAAGAATAATTGTAGCCTGGCGTTGGTGATGCATGCCTTTAAACCTAGTACTGTACTTGGGGGGTGGGATATCTCAGAGTTCAAGGCCAGCCTGGTCTACAGGGCGAATTCCAGGACAGCCAGGGTTACACGGATCATGTCTCAAAAAACGAAAAAAACAAAAGGAACAAACAATTGTGTTTCCCCCTGCTTATTCTGTGAATTAGCCCTGTCAAATGTTTTGGTCTTTTAGATTTTATATTTATTTACTGGTGCTGGGGTTTGAACCTAGGGTTTCATGCAACCTAGGTAAGTTCTCTGCTACCGAGCTCTATTTTCAGCATCATGTTTCATTTAATAAGTAGAGTGTTTAAATGTTAGCCACCCTACAAAGAAGAAAACTAAAATGTTCACTGAACTGGCAAGGTGGCTTAATTAGCGAGAAGGCAAAGACTCTGCTGCTTAGCCTAATGATTTTCATAACTGGAATCCATATGAAAGGTGAGAACCCGTTCCTGCAAGTTGTTGTCTGACCTCCACACATTTCTTAGCATATGTCCCCTCCCCATGCAAATAAATACATACATAAAAATTTTATAGCCTGGCCATTGGTGGCACACATCTTTATTACTAGCACTCAGGAGGCACAGGCAGGCAGTCACCTGTGAGTTCAAGACAGCCAAGACTACACAAAGAAACCTGTCTCAAAAAGCCCAAAATAAATAACATTTTAAAAACTTAAAAATTGGTTTTAGCTAGGGACTGGAGAGATGGCTCCAGTAAGAGCTCTTCTAGATGGCCCAAGTTCGATTCCAAGATGCACATGACAGCTTACATCCATCCGTAACTCCAGTTCCAGGGTATCTGATTCCCTCTTCTGGCCTTTTCAGACATATTCTTGCAGGCAAAACACCCACACACATTTTTTAAAAGTCTAAAAAAATGTTTTCAGGTTAGAAGAAAAATGCTTTTAGACACTGTTGTATGCTGATACATGTACTGAAAATGCTTCCTCTTCTCTTCTAGTGGCCTAGTAGGAAAACATCGCCATGGCTACAGAAATTGGCTCTCCTCCACGATTTTTCCACATGCCGAGGTTTCAACACCAGGCACCCCGACAGCTATTTTATAAGCGGCCTGATTTTGCACAGCAGCAAGCAATGCAGCAGCTTACCTTTGATGGAAAACGAATGAGAAAAGCTGTAAACCGAAAAACCATAGACTATAACCCATCTGTAATTAAGTATTTGGAGGTAAGTCCAGTGAATGTACTTTTATGGTCAAAGTGTTTTTGTTTCTGCTTTTTTTTTTTTTTCAAAGCTAAAGTGTATTAAGTATTACTGGTATTTCTTGAATTAGTGGGATGGATTAGTGTTTAGATGGAGAGTTCATTAATCATCTGCCAAAAATAGCACAGTGTATGTGAAATATTAAGTGACTACCAACATAGTAACATTTTTGAGACACTGGCTCTGAGAACGTGGCTTGCCCCACTTCTGAGTTCCCAAGGGTAAGGAATTGTAGTCTGGAGGAAGAGCTCTATATTTACTTTGAAGACTGAGTGCCTACCATACTCGTAGAATGCCCTGATCTGCTGAAAGTGCTCTCAGCTCTGTTTCTCTACTTTTGAGCTCTTATGTACTTGTGTTATCCTTTTAAATGTTACTATTTCATCCAGTTGGTTTAGTTTGCTTTTTATACCTTAGTTCAGTGGTTAAACACCTGTTGTTTGCATATTGACCTAATTAATGTATTACAGACACATGACAAAAAGTGTCAAGGATAGATTTAGACTTTTTAGTTTCTCCCCCTTTTTTAGACATTATATTATATAGCACAGGCTGGTTTGGAATTCCTGAACTTTTCCCCTTCGTCCCCTAAGTACTGAGATTAAGGCATGTGACGTCCCACTGGTTGATTCTTGGGAATTTCACTTGGAACTAGAGTATGAATCTAGAATTTGGAAAGAATAAAAAAGAAAACCAAAAGAAAGATAAAGGGAAACTGTTTTGTGCTAATGGATTTGGCAGTCTGTCCTTACGTCCTACCTGCTCATCCAACTTAATTATTTTATGTGTATGATTGTTTTGCTTGCATGTAGGTATGTCTATCATGTGTATGCCTGGTGCCCACATAGGGAAGAAGAGGGTGTTACATCCTGTGGAACTGGAGTTAACAAGCTGTGAGCCATTTGGGTACTGGCATCCAGGTCTTCTAGAAGAGCAGCCAGTGCTCTTAAGTGAGTGAGGATGTGTTGGGGATCAGAGGAACTGGATGAGTAGGGTAAGGGCTACTTGAGTAAAATTCTAAGCAGGGGCAGCAGGAAAAGGGGACCATCTAAGGCACTGCCATCACTGTTATCTGTGTTTGAGAAAACAGCCTGGTGTCCTGGTTTTTTGGTGTACTTGTATCCCAGTGCCCTGGAGGCAAAGGAATTCTGAATTCCAAGCCACACTGGTATATCTAGGGAATTGCAGGCTAGCCAGGGCTACACAGTGAGACCCTGTCTTAAAAATACTAAAACAAGGCCTGGTGGTGGTGACACCTTCCAGCACTAGGGAGGCAGAGACAGGTGAATCTCTGAGTTTGAGGCCAGTCTGGTCTACAGAGTGAGTTTCAGTACAGGCTCCAAAGCTACACAGAGAAACCCTGTCTTGAAAAACCAAAAAAAAAAACCCAAAACTCAAAACACACATGAATCCTGTTACATTTGGGGTTTGGAGAAGTAACTCAATGCTTAAGAGCACAGACTGCTCTTCTAGAGGACTTGGATTGATTCTCAGCATGAACATGGTGACCCATAATCATCTGTAATTCCAGTTTCAGAGTATCTCATGCTCTTCTGACCTCTGTGGGTACTAAACATGAGTGTGTTGCTTGGTACCCACATGCATACACATGCAGGCAAATATCCGTACAATAAATTAAAAATATACATTAGGTTTCATTATTAATTAAATTGTACATGACTGTCATATGGCCATATACTCATTAATTTATTTTTTAACAGAATAGGATATGGCAAAGAGATCAGAGAGATATGCGGGCCATTCAGCCGGATGCAGGTTATTATAATGATGTAAGTATAAGTTCTATAATACTAGCTTAATGAGAACCTCCTTGTAAACCTCAAAGCATGTGAGTTCAGGGTTAAGGTTGTCTTGAGTTCTTTCTTTTTTATAGTTAACATATTTCCAAAAGTGTATGTAGTATTTACCTTGATTTAATATTGTCTCAACTTAAATATTCCTTTAATTTTAATGATGAATAAACTTTGGGGATGGGCAAAAGCAATGTAGAAAGGTTAAACAACTTCAGAGTCTTTTAATAGAAAAATTAATTTTAAATTTGGGGTTCTGCAAACATGCTTTGCTGTATTGACTTGGAGAAGTAATTTAGGAAATCTGATGCTTAAACAGATGTTGAAATTAAGTTCTAGATTATTACTAATAGTTGTTTAACTTCTTATCTTAGTTTTCTTTTAACTAATGTAGACTACTTTTAATCTCCTAAAAGTTTTGGAAAGTTACCTTGAAGTTTTCTTTAGATGTTGAAATAGTTACCTTGCTATGTACCTTGTTTCTTCTCTGTGTGTTATCTGGTGTTTTTAAAAACTCAATATTCTTTTTTTTGATAGCTGGTTCCACCTATAGGAATGTTGAATAATCCTATGAATGCAGTCACAACAAAATTTGTTAGAACATCAACAAACAAAGTAAAATGCCCAGTATTTGTTGTGAGGGTAAGTATTCTGTTAGATATTTTTTTTAAAAAATTAATTCTTAGTTTTACAAATGTATTTGGCAAGGTTGGGAAATTTGGCACATGTCTTTAATCCCAGAAGCAGGAGGATCTCTGTGAGTTCAAGGCCAGCCTGATCTACATAGTTCCAGAATAACCAGGACTACATAGAGAGACTCACAGTTTTACTTTGAAATCCATTTTTTTATCCATTTGTGCACTGAGGATAATGTGCTTTGAGTTGTTTTTCATCATGTTATAGAATCCTGGAATATGTAGCATTTCATACTGCAGCAGGTCTCAGGATAGTCCTTGAGTAGAGAAGATTTTGTTGCTGTTGAAAAAACAGCATCCTAAAGTGAATAAAAAGCTGTCAGGTTTTGATTGGAAATGATGTTTTAGGACAGCTAAAAATTATGATATATCATCATACTTAATAGCTCTGTGAAGGTTCCCAGTAGTTTCTTTCGAATTATAAAATACAGTTTTATAGTCAGGAAGATAGTCACTTGCTTTATATTTTGAAGGGATTTTGCAGTAAAAGGTTTTTTTCCATATCGACCAGACATTCAGTTCATATTCCTACAGATGATAGTGTAATAATTTCTTTTTATTTCATTTCTTTTCTTCTTCCATCTTTTTAATTTTTTTTTTTAGAATTTATTATTATTATTATTGTTTGGATTTTCAAGACACAGTTTCTTTGTATAGCAGTCCTAATTGTTCTGGAATTAGCTTTTGTAGTTCGGGCTGGCCTTAATTTGCCTGCCTCTGCTCCCAAGTGCTGGGATTAAAGGCATGCACCACCACTGCCAAGCAAGAATTTTTTGTTTTGTTTTTTGTTTCCTGAGATAAGTTTCTCTGTATAGCCCTGGTTGTCCTGGAACTTGCTCTGTAGAACAGGCTGGCCTCAAACTCAAGACATCCTCCTGCTTCTGCCTCCCAAGTGCTGGAATTAAAAATGTGCACCACTGCTGACTGGATTAATTTTATATTAAATGATGTCTATACGTGCATGTCTCTAATCATATTAGTGGAGGTGTCTTTGGAGGCTAGAAAAGGGCATCCAATCCTTTGGAGCTGGAAATTACAGGTTGGTAGCTGCTTTATGTGGATGCTGGCAGCCAGACTCAGGCCTCTGTGAAATTAGCATATTCTTTTAATCATTGAGCAAGTTCTTAAACTCCCTTGTATAGTTGTTTGTTTGTTTGTTTTAACTCTTTGCTCTTTGGGGGCCCACCACCCAGATCCCAGATAAATACATGAAGGCTTATTCTTATGCTTATGAATGCCTGGCTTTATAATGGTTTGTTTTTAGCCAGTTTTTCTTAAATTATCCCATTTCCCTTTTGCCTCTGGGCTTTTAATTTCTCTATTCTCTATTCTTTTCTTTCCTTTCTCTGTGACTAGTTGTGTGGTTGGGTGGTTGGCCCCTGGTATCTTCCTCTTTTCCTTTTTTGCTCCTCTCTCTGTTCTTCTAGTTATTCTCTCTGCCTGCCAGCCCTGCCTATCTTTTCTCCTACCTAGCTATTGACCGTTCTGCTCTTTATTAGACCAATTAGGTATAAAACAGGCAAAGCAACACAGTTTTATAGAGGTAAACAGATGCAACACATCTTTGCATCATTAAACAAATATTCTACAGCATAAACGAATGGAACACATATTATCTAATATTCCACAACACCCTTGTTTTTTATTTTATTTTTAAACTTAATTATTGTATGTATATGGGGGGGCGGGCTCTCCCCTATGGTGTATATGTGGCGATCAGGATCACCAATGGAGTTGTGTCTCTTCTTTGACCTTTATGTGGGTTTTAGGAGTTGAGCTCACATTGTCAGAATTCTCTGGAGCTATAGTTAACAGGTGGTTGTGAACTATGTGATGTTGGTGTTGGGAACCAAACTCTGGTCCTCTGAATGAGCTGCAAACACTGAACTGCTGAGTCATTCTCCAGCACTTTATTATCCTTTTGTAATACAGAAAACCTTTCTGAAATGGAGCCTGTACATCTTGTATCTGTATTTTTATTTTCTCCCTTTAATACTAAGGATAGAACCTAGGACCTTACATATGTTCTGAATTACATCCTTAGCCTCCCACCCCTTAAGAACAAACCAAACAACAATAAACCTCATGCTAGTTTTGAACTCATCTTGTATGTAGCCTAGGCTGCCCTAGAACTCTTGGTCCCCTTTCACCTTGTCCATGTGGTAGATAAGTTTTCTTTGGAGATCGAGGTATGAGATCTTAGCAATTTGTGTGTATTAGAGACATAGTCTGTTGAAAGGTTATTAAGAAATACTGTATTTACAGTTTGGTTTGTTATAGAATTGATAGGGTTGGGATCATAGCAAATAACAAAATCTAGAAAGATTAAGAGCACTTTTCAGAATCATCAGAATGATGTTTTATTGATAAAGCAATAAAGATCCAAATGGCCATACATTATTTGCGCCATTTTCCAGATAAACTGTATTTTATCTATTTTATCATGTTTCTTTAAAAACATCTATCTTTTAAGCATTTATTTATTTATTACATATACATATGACAGAAGAAGACACCAGATCTCATTACAGATAGTTGTGAGCCACCATGTAGTTGCTGGGAATTGAATTCTGGAAGAGCAGCCTCTCCAGCTCCCAAGCAGACCTATTTTTGCACTGTCAGTTTTTGCTTAGGATAATAGGATTGTGCTGACCTGCTTTGTATTAATATCCTTTATGAACAATGAGTGAAGTTGAAAAAAAAAGAAAAAATAAATTAGACACATACACAGACAAGTACTTAATTATCGGTTTGTCCATCCGTTCATCTGTCTGTCCATCTATCCATCCATTTTGTGACAGGGTCTTATTATATAGCCCTGACTGGCTTGTAACTCATTGTGTAGACCAGACTGGCCTTAAGTTCACTGACATCTTCCCGCTTCTGCCTCAATAGTACTGGGATTATGATGTCACCATGCTTGGAAAAATATTTTATTTTTTAATGATTTTTTTTCAAGGCAACGTTTCTCTGTGGAGCCCTGGCTGTCCTGGAAATCACCCCACTCTGTAGAACAGGCTAGCATTGAACTCACAGACATCTGCCTTCCTCTACCTCCTGAGTTCTGGAATTAAAGGCATGCACCATTATGCTTGGCCATACGTTCTATTTTTGTGTGATTAGCAAGTGTGTCACAAGCTTAGTGATTATTTTTGCGTGATTAGCAAGTATGTCACAAGCTGTGACATTTAAATAATCCTATAGTGTTTGTTCTAATGTATTAAGGCTTTTCTTTTTTTGAGATAGGTTCTTGGTATTGAGCCCTGACTGGCCTGGTGTCCACTGCGTAGCCCAGTCTAACCTTGAATTCTCAGCATCTTCCTATGTTAGCCTCCTGAGTGCTAGGGTTCTTAATATAGATCATCATTACTGGCAGTGTTGATTCTTGTTTTGTTTTTTTAAAAAATAATGCAGCCTGAGGCTTGGCATTGAATTTAGAAGAGCATAAAATAACTCCCAGAGATCTACCTGCCTCTGCTTCCAGGCTTTTTTTTGCGGGGGGGGGGGGGGGTAAGGTCTCACATAGGCCAGGAATTCTAATTCTAAGCTTTGCTGTGTATCAAAAGATGACCTTGACTAATAATAATAATTATCATTATTTTTATTATTATATGCCTTGGTGTTTTCCTACATGCATGTCAGTGTGAGGGTATCAGATCCTCTGGAACTGGAATTACAGACAGTTGTGAGCTGCCATGTGGGTGCTGGGAATTGAACCTTAGTTCTCTGGAAGAGCAGGCTATGCTCTTAACCAATTAGCCTTCTCTCTAGCCTCAACTTTGAGCTTTTGATTTTATTCCTCTATCTCTTGATTGCTAGAATTACAGGCACTGTACCACTATGCCTAGTTTATTTGGTGTTGGGATCAAACTTGGGGGGCCTAGTGTTTTCTAGGCAAATATTCTAACATCACTAGCTTCTCTCCTTTTAAAGAATATTTAGTTGTAGGGAAAGTTTGATATTTTTAATGTTCTTAATGTAATAATTGTTACTGTTTTGCTTGTGGAGGAAGGGGTATTTTATTTTTGAGACAAGGACAAAGTCTCACTATATTGTCCTAGCTGGCCTAGAACTTGCTATCCAGACCATGTTGGTCCTGAACTCATAAAGATCTTTTGCCTTTGCCACCCAAGTGCTTGGGATTAAAAAGTACGTGCCACATGCCTGGCTATTCTTTATTTAGCTATTTATTTGTTTTTATTTACTTATTTTTGGAAGCAAGGTTTCTCTGTAGCCCTGGCTGTGTAGACCAGGCTGATCTTCAACTCAGAGATCTTCTTGCCTCTGCCTCTGGAGTGCTGGAATAAAAGGTGTGTGCCACCACCACCTGGCTGACTGGCTTTCTCTGTCTTGTCTTGTCTTGTCTTGTCTTGTCTTGTCTTGTCTGTCTGTCTGTCTGTCTGTCTGTCTGTCTGTCTCTTCCTCTCTCTCCCTCCCTCTGTCCCTCCCTCCATCCGTTCTTCTCTCCCTCCCTCCTTTTCTCTCTCCCTGCCTCCCTTCCTCCCTTTTTTCTTTTCTAATTCAGTTCAGTGTCTCATGCAGACCTGAAGTGTGATCTTGAACTTGGCATCCTGCCTCTGCCTCCCAGTGCTGTGCTTCTGGGCCTTTGCCACAGAGCTGATTTTATTTTTTGAGGTGAAGTCTTTTGAGGTTGGCCTCAAACTCTAGTGATCCTTGTACATCCAGCTCTCAAGTGCTTTATAATGCATATACCACCACACTGATTATTTTATCTCTATCTCTATCTGTCCATCTATCCATCCATCCATCCATCCATCCATCCATCCATCCATCCATCCATCCATC